ACAGCTATTGTCAGTGCTGGTCTTGAAACACGATTCACCCAATATGAGCTTCCCAAGTAGCTAGGATTATAGGCATGAGCCTGCCTGTAATCCTAGCCACCAGTGTTCAGCTGACTTTAATCTATCTGAATCTAATTTACTTCCTCATAATAGGCCTCTGGATTAGGTAGGAGTTAGATATTGTTAGCATCATTTTTTAAATGATAAAATTGAGCTACAAAAAGTTTATTGCACTTTTTCAGATCCACTAACAGGTCACTCTATTAGGTATAAGCTGGTTAGCACCATGAACTATAAATTTGAATCTGCTCTCTGTCTTCTAGGTTGGTAGATTTTAAGATGCTTGCTCCTCAGTGGCCAAGAAGATATGGGAGTGTGTGTGTGTGTGTGTGTGTGTGTATGTTGTGTGTGTATGTGACCAAGTGGGGTCTTGGTCTCCAATTTGCACTAAAACTGGAGCAGTTCTCATTGGGTCTTTTTTACATCTGAGTGGGATTTCATTTAATGAAAAACTCTGCTGCTGAAACCACTTACTTAGACCAGTAGTTATAATAGACAGTGTAGTGGGTTGAATTGTGTGCTCCCCCCAAAAAATACTCTGTTGAAGTTTTAACCACTACCAACTGTGAGTGTGATCTTATTTGGAAAAAGGGTCTTTGTAGAGGTAATCACATAAAGACAAGATCATACAAATTAGGGTAGGTGCTAAATCAGATGACTGGTTAATATTTTTAAGAAAAAAAAGGAGAGGGAGATTTGGATGCAGACACAGAAGAAAGATAGAGAAAAGAACTCTGGGTGAAAATAGAGACAGAGACTGGAGTGATGCAACTATAAGCCAAGGAATGCCAGGATCACAGACAACCCACCAGAAGCTTGCAAAGAGGCAAGGAACAGAGTCTCCCTCCAGTGGGAAGCAGCCCTTCATTCCAGACTTCTGGCCTCCTTCCTTGTGTGACTGTGATAATACATTTGTTTTGTTTTAAGCTACACAGTTTATGATAATTTGTTATGACAGACCTAGGAAATAGAGAGGTACAAGGGCCTCTTGCCTAGAAAGTGGTGGATAAGGGCTTGTTACAGTGCTGGTTTCAGGTCCAGTCCCCAAGATTCCTATTCTGTAGGTATCCACTGAAGCTCAGCAACCTGCATTTTGAAAAGTTTCCCATATGCATATCATTGATTCTGAGCTGATTTTGAGCATACACAGATATGAGCCTCCTCTCTGGATTGTAGCTGGATTTGCTTTCCCTCCTGATAATTCTCCTCCAGTGGTTCCCAAAGCCAGTGGTCTAAAGGTAGCAAGCATAATAAATAAGAAATATACTAGCATTGAACCTTCTGTTGTCCACAAATTTTTAATAATGAGACCATGTTTTACTGTTTATCTTAGGGAATCAGAAATTTTCCAAGTTACCAGACTCTACCTTTAAGGAAATAGGCCATGGTGGACAGAGAGTGGGCCAAAGAGTCAGACTTCTGGAACCTAAGTGGACTACACACACACACATATGAGCATTGATACTTGAAGGCAGTGCCAGGCATTTATGCTTGGCCTCTGATCTTCATCTGAGACTGGTTTTGATAGGCTAGAGAAGAGGGAAGAGGAGGAGAATGAGGTAAGGAAGAAGCAGAAGGGGTCAGCCAGGAGCAAAAGTCCTTGCTTAGTAATGCCAAGGAGAGCACTTGTTTATTATCCCAAGATTGATAGAGGTCAGCAGTGCCCAATCTCGTAGAGAGATGGAGAAGAGCCCCTGTGAAAAAGAACAATTGTTTGGATTCAGTGTGTAGAAGGAGTGCCTTCCTGCGAGTGGCCTGCCCAGCTGAACTGAAGGTCCTGTTTGCTCACATCCCTGATTGCTCCCAGGTAAACAAATCTTCTTTCTATCTCCCAGAAAGACAGAGCTCCAACAGGCAGCCTGTTGTTACAGTTACTGACATATGGCTTATCACTGTGATTGTCAGAGCAATGGAAGAAAATCAAATTTAGCAGAGGCTGGTGGTGGGGGTTGGGGAAGAGAGAAATGTCGGAGAAAGCTACTGAAGAGACTTGGAATGGAGTTGAAGGCTTCATGAGCTCGTATGTCTGGTATTAATATTGGAGTATGGACAGAAGAGGTCTTACATTGGCAGTGTGTCTCAAAGGGTCCTGGCAAAGACAACCTGGCACAAATAGCTTCATCCAGGTTCTATATGCCGGAATTTCCAACACGAGTGGCTCATTCCTATGGGCAAAGTTATGCCTTTGCCAAGGAAAGGTCAAGCATTAGATTGCACTTTAGTATAAGTGTACCTGATGCCTTTCACTCTGGCTGGCAGAGCCTTGGTGTTTGCTGGAGCACTGGGGAAAGATGAAAGAAATGGGGCCCATCAATCAAAGGCTTGGCCTACATTCAAAACTCAGCTAGGACCAGCCCTCTGCTCTTTTTTTCTTCAAAACAGTTATGAGGCTACATGTGATTGAATATGAAAGTCTTAAAGGTTTTGTTTGATAGCAAACCCTGTGCTTTTCTGGGAGATATACTTAATTCCTTCATGTCCCTCAGCAAATATTTTTGTATCACCCATTATCTACTAGGCACTTAATTAGGTACTGACCGGGCAAGCATAGAAACGGCTGGACACTGAATTTATACCTCACATTTAAGAAATTATCTAGTTATAGAGACTAGGCATTTCTACAAGTGAGGCAAACAGTGCAAAGTAGCATGTGATTGGTGTCAAATGAAAGAAAGAGCCAATGAGCTGCAGAATCTTGGAGATGGGCAAGGTCATCACAGTACCCTGTGAGACTGAGAAAAACCTTTATGTACATTAGCACATTAAATCACTGGGCACTTAGCAGGGCTCTGGGGACATGCAACATAGAGCAAATCAGTTTTGATGGGGATTATGAGACTGAGTATGAAACATATACCTCTCTGCTTTGTTAGTCATTCAATTCCTTCAGGCCTATTCTTTCCAGAGAGTTCATCTTCCACTCACTTGAGCTGTCTCAGAATTCTTATGCTGGGAATCCAAAGATTTATTCAGATCATCAGAGAAGCATTGTGGCCTAGTGGTTAAGAGGGATTTGGAAATTGGGCAACCTGGGTTTCAATCTTGGCTCTGACATTTTCTAACTGTGACTTTGGATAATTGACCTAACCATCCTGTGACACAATGTTTCTCATTGGAAAAAAGGGGATGACAATTATGGTGTCTACCTAAAACTTGCTTGGAACATTAAAAGAAGTAAATTGTGTTAAGATGCTTAGCACAGTGTTGGTTGCATATTAATCCTTCATTAAATAATTATTTATTGAGTTCCTATTATGTCCCAGGTACTCTTCTTATGATGTGAAACAGTAGTGAATAACAAACTTTGTACTTTCTTAGGACTAGGTTAAATGCTTCTCAGGAAGGAGGGGGTTTAAGTCTTTACTCAAGGAGTTTTTAATCAACCAACTGTCTTGTTTATTACTTGGTCAATTCCAATTCTTAGTCTGTGAGTTATTACTTATTGTCATTATTTTTTAAAATTTGGGCATGTATTAAAGCTATAAATTTCCTTTAAACCCAGCTTTGACCATATCCCATAAGATTTGATATTGTTTTTATTATCATTGTTTATAAAGTGAAGCCACTCCACATTCCAGTTTGGCCCCATCACCATGTTGTGATGCAACCAAGGGGGCCCTCAACAGAGGCTGAACAGAAAGAGCCATCTGATCTTGGACTTCCTGGTTCCAAAACTGTGAGCAAAATAAACCACATTTCTTTACAATTACCTGGACTTGGGAATTTTGTTATGACAATAGAGAACAGACTAATATGAGGAGACATGTTAGTTACTGAAACTATAGATAGAAATGAGAGGATCATTGTGCTATTTTAGGAAGAATAAACCAACCTCATTGTTTAGAATGGTTTGAGAGGAGGGAAAGGCTAGAAGGGAGACCAGTTAAAAGATTTTTATGTTGATCTGGGACAGACAGTGGTTCTTAAACTTGAGCATGCATCAGAATTCCATGATGGAGGATGGCCTGTGTTAAAGAGAGATGCTATCCCCAAAATAACCAATGCAAAAAGGGTTGGTGGAATGGCTCCATGTGGTAGAGTCCCTGCTTAGCAAGCAGTTCAAACCCCAGTATCGTCCCCCTACACAAAAAAATTTCCCTCTAAATTCCCTGTTGGTCTTGTTAAAGCACAGTTTCTTGTATTCTGCCCCAGAATTTGTGATTTACAAGTCCTGTGGTGGGGACCTAAGGTTGATGCTGCTGATCTAGGGACATTTTGAACAACTCATGTATGAGAGAGATGATGAGAACAGAGCCATTAGTGGTGGAAGTTGGGTTAAAGAGGAAGGAACGTATGTAAAAGATATTGGGAAGGAAAAAAACCACAAGACTTAGGGATTGGACATGGAGTCAAGGTCAAGAGAGGAATCAAAGATGACTACAAAGTATCAAACCTTGGCACCTTGGGAGAAATTGGAATCATAGAGGCAAAATCCAAAACATCTAAGAGTGACATGCAATCATCACATAACAGGCACTGGGAAAACACATGAAGCCTTAATAGCTATCTGTGTCTGCACTGTGTTGCTCAAGTTTAAAGGCTTCCCATCTTGCCTTGCAAGAGAGATTCTAAGTAGGAAGGAGAAAGCTCTGGTCTGTGTTTACTCTCTTTTTCCATAATGTAACTTTTGAATCTAGGAAGAAAATGAAGATAGAAACAGGAAGTAGGGAAAATAGACTTTTTCTGGAAATAACGAACATACCTTTGAGTTGTTAAGTATTGAATGCATATGGACAAATATTTAAAAAGAAAAGATAAATAGGTATAACTGAGCATGAGCCATGCAGGCAAGCTCTAGGATACCACCTGGAATGCTGATGTAATTTCTGAGATAGGGATTCTCAACTGCAGACTACCTATCTTTTTCTAGTTTCAGGACTTTGCACGCTGGTGCCCTGATGTTCCTCGATGTTTCTAAGCCTATAGGGAGTTCTTTTTACCTGCTTCTCTCCACTGGGCTTCCTGTAGCTGAGCAGAAGCTCCACAGCACCCACCACTTCCTTGCGGATGGCGTAGAGTAATGCATCACCCACATACACACTGTGGTTCAGCAGTAGCTCCATGATCTCCAAGTTCTCATTCTCAATGGCAATAAGCAGGGCACTCCGGCCCAGAGGATCCATGCAGTTGATGTTGACATTGTAGTAGATCTCAGCCTCCTGAAGGGCCTGCTTCACAGTGGCATAGTCCCCCTTCTCCACAGCATTAAGAAAGGCCTTCTCCTCTGCAGAGAGCTCTGTCTCAGCCCTCACGATTTGCAAGGGGATGCGGTCTCTGTATGGTGAGTAATTTACCTTCTTGTAGTACAGCTGGGCCATGGTTCATAGCAATTTAGAAAGCTAAGTGAGGAGAAACAGAAAACCAAAGATATTCTTAGTTACCTGAAGGTCTCAAGTGACTAGTTATAGAGGGCAGACTTGATAAAGGGTGGAAAAATCCCAAAGTGTTTTAATGACACCATTGTTTTCCTTTTGCCAAAGGATATAGCAGAAAAAGCCCAGACTTTTGGATCAGAAAGACTTGGGTTTAAGCATTGTTCTTACCACTTATCACCTCTGTGGCCTTGGATAAGTTATGCAAACTGTCTGCTTCATTTGCTACTAAGCTAATCCATAGCAGTATCATTTAGTGACAGCTTACTGTGTACTAGGTCCTGTGCTAGAGAGTAATTCCTACCTTGAAAAACTTCTGTGAGAGTTAAGAGAATAAATACTATCAAAGTAACCAGCCCAGGTTAAACCTCCTAAGACAAAGCACAAGTTAGTTTTTTTCCTTCCTTTCTTTCTGCTGCTAAAAATATTCATAGCAATATTTCTGCTCAGTGTGCAAAGTTGGCACTCATCTTTGGCCAGTTTCCTTTGAGCTCTGGATCTGTGGGTCTGTGTTAGGTTTCAAGATTACATTTGTCACTGTCACAGATGTACACCCTAGATTGAAATAATGTTGTAATGCTAACTGCAGCTCTGTCTCTTTCTGCTGCTCACTAGGGAAAGGGTACTGACTCCAGTAGGCTAAAGCCAACTGCAAAAGGTAAGTACCTCTGCTCATCCATGTTTTTTCTGCCACCATTCCTCACCCAGATGCTAACAGATCTGAGAATCTTTTTGATTTAATTCTGAGAAGTGAATAGTATGTTTTATTTGTACCAGATCTAAAGCCAGATTATACTTAATAGAACTGATTGTAAAGTAAAAGCCTATTTACTGAGCTCCTATAATGTGTTTAAATTTTCTCTTGGAGACCAAGACAAAAAGACAGTCTTTGCTTTCATTCATATAAAATGAATCATGGGATAGAGCTCTTGCCTTTAATTTACAGACCAAATTAACTCACATTCTCATTGACCCCTGGTGTTAGCCCTGTGAGGTGGGAATGATGATTCTCTCCAGGGGAGAAAATGAAGCTCAGATCCATTATGTGACTTGTTCTTTTCCTCCCATCCCTAAGGCCCCTAAGCCCCTATGGAGGCTGAGTTAAGATGGACCTATTTCAGTGTTTTTCATTATAGAACTGTTTTGCTAGTGAAAGGAAATGGAAATGTGATAAAGAGCCCCTTGTCTCTCATCTCCTGCATATAAGAGAAAATGAAGACATGGAACTTCCACAAACATTTACCTCACTCAGGTAATTATATCCCTGCTTTGGCAGAAGGAGAAGCATATATTATATCAAGTGGCATTTGCAATTCATGTCCTTGTAATCTTCTGGGAAGTTAGTGTTTAAAGATAACTGTTGCCTCTTACCTTGAACAGGCCCAAATGACAAATTTCTGCATCCTACTCTCAGGAGAGCAGGGTGCTGTTTGGTTCTCTAGAGAAGCAGTGATAATGTCTTTCACTACTTTCAAGTAACTCTGCAGTGGCTAAAGGAAAGTGGCACTTAGAGGAAGCATTTGACACCAAAAAGCAAATGACTTTAATAATACTAATTATAGACTGCCTCGTGCCTCTGTGTTGTCATCAAAAAGGGGGAGGGAAGACGAGACAGTGTGACCTCCTGAATAGAGACTACACAGTTTACAGGCTTCTATTTGTTTACTTAATCAATAGAGACACATTGAGAACTTCCTGTGTGCCCACCACTCTGGTAGAAAGAATAAAGATCTGTCATCACCATCTCTCACCTGCACCATTGCCACAAACTTAGAATTGACTGATCATCCTGACTCCATTCTCTCCTGGATGTCAAGGACACCTTCCTCTCAGATCAGAATATAACCAATGAAACACAAATCTGATCCCATTTCACTGCTCTTTCATTGCTTCCTGCTGCTTTTGTTATGAGAGCAACACTCCTTAATGAGGTCTGCAAGGTCTTTGCTCATGTTTCCCATTCCAACCTTTTCCTTTTCTTCTTCTTTCTTTTTTCCCCAATGGCACTGGGATTGACCTCATGACCTAGTACTGGCTAGGCAGGCACTTTACCATTTGAGCCACAGCCTTGAGCTCTTAGTCTACTTATTTTTTTTTATAATGCCTCTTCTTTTTTGGCCAGAGCCAGCATTGGACCATAATCCTCCTACCTACACCTCCCATGTAGTTGGAATCATAGATGTGTACCACCACTCCTGGCTTGTTGGTTGAGATGGGGTCTCACTAACTTTCGCCAGACTGGCTTTGAACCATGATCCTCCCAATCTCTGCCTCCCAGATAGCTGGGATTACAGAAGTGAGACACCACACCTGACCTCTGCAACTTCTTCTTAAGCCCCTCTCCTACTTCTAGCCACTACTTTAGCCTTGTGGAGGTTGTTTGATTCTTCTAACAAGCCAAGCTTATACTTACCTCAAAACCTAGATTATTGCATACAACATTCTTCTCAAGCTCTTTTCATCTTTCAGACTTCATCAAGATATCACTTCCCCAGAGCTGTCCTCACTCACCACCCTTTCTAAAATAGTTTCTTCACATTCTTCTCTGTCCTATTCCTTTCTTCTTAATGCTTACCAAAATTTGAATTTATATACTTCTATGACTTATGGGGCAATTGTCTGTGCTTTCCAATTAGCTTTTAAAGTTCAAGTATTGTGACAGAGTGAGTGGCTCAAGTGATAGAGCACCAGCTTAGCAAGTGTGAGGCCCTGAGTCAAACCCCAGTGCCACCAAAAATTTTAAAAAATTAAAGTTTAAGTATTATATTGGTTGTTTTTTCTAATACCTATACATAGTCCAGTGCTTGGCATACCTTAGACACGATATTTATTTGAAAAATGAATGAATCAAATTTCCATGGTATTTCCTTTTCCCTTTCCATCCCACCCTATTTTCTAGCCATATTCAGCCATGTTCTTTGAATTACCCTTTTATGACCATTCCTTTTCACATGGCTTCATCCTACTCTCTCTCTCTCTCCGTGATTCTGCCCCTTGCTCATAGGCCACTTTCCCTGCAAAGTCTTTTCCCAATGCCCACAGGAAGTCAGTTAGTCTCCCAGTACTCTACTGGTACTGTGATCACATTTCTTCAACAGATCCAACTACTAAGGTAGGGGCACTTTGCATTCCCAGTACTCACACAGGTCTGGAACATAACAAGTATACAGTTAATGGATGCTTAATGAGCAAAACAATCTAGCTAAGGAGGGCTGGCACAGTCAATTGCTAAATTAGGTGGTACTGATTTGATGCTTTGTGATTTCAGAAAAGGTTCAATAAGGACTGGAGGTCTCAGAGAAGGTTGCATGGAGGTCATAGTTCAAGCTAATCCTTGGTGGATGCATTAAATATGCAAGCGTGAGGCCGGTCCAGGACCCACAGAGTGCAAAAACAAAGGATATGGGATTGATCATGGCCTGGTTGGGAGATATTTGGGAGGAGCAGTGGGACCTTTTTACAGCTTACAATAAGATATAGGTATTAGGGGTGAGATAAAATTCCAAGGTAATAGTTCATAACCTCAATTTTCCCATCTGAAAAGGGGTCTTAAACATTTGCTTATTTGCCACTTAAGAGGCTATAATAGAATAAAAAGCTGGATGTCTTTTCTGATGGTGTCATTGATGATGCTGAGCTAAGCATATTGCTACAGAGAAGATATAATCATTCTAGTAAAACAGGGCTGTAGGGGAAGTGGAAGAAATACGTATTCCAGGGAAAGGTGAGAATAAAAAGCACTAACTCAATTGGTGCCCTATTATGTGTCAGGCAGTATGCCAAGAACTGGGGCAATAAAGATATAATAATAATTATAGTTTTGAATAGTTAACATGTCCCAGGCTCTGTGCCAGGGACTGAGGCAGTACTATTACTACTACTTTCTCTAATAGTAATAATAATGATTGCAGCAAGCAGTGCCATTCATTGAAATCTCACTATTTGCCAGATGCTAGAGGCATGGGTGAAAATACTAAAGAGAGATAACAGTAAAATCATGAAAAATTGAAATCTGAAGTAAGTATAATTGGATGATATATAGTCAAATCAAAGTCCAGTTTTACTTTTCATTTCTTACATTTGGATTAATCTGGTCTGTTTCATTTCCACTGGGCTGTGTTATGTGAGGCTTCATAGAATTCTTCTGTAGAGAAACATACCTCCAGAATTTTGCCTGAGATTGTACTATTAGAGAGTCTCTGTTTAGCTTTAAGGCACTACATCTCCAAAAGTACCTCTGGAAGGAATAGTAAATAATACAGCTAACAGCTAGTAATATCTTAGCATGTATTCTGTCATTAAGAAAATTATTGTGGAAGATTGATCCAAATATAAGCATTATCATATACACATATATATATATATACATACATCTATCTCTCTCTCTCTCTATATATATATGTATAAAAATGTTTCTAATAGTGGAACTGTTAGAGGATACTGGGGGATTAGAGAAAGAAGAAGAGAATGACAGACAGTGAATAACACTGAAATACATTGCATCTGTGTGGGACCAAAACACAGTGAACTGCACTGAAAACTGCTGAACAATATGGGGTAGGAGGGAAAGGGTAAGGAAGAGTAATAGAGAGAGTATTAGACTGAATTAAGCACAATATATTTATGGTGAAATACCAAGGCAAGACCATTCTGAAAAATGAATGGACACTTAAACAATGAAGGTAAATTAAGAGGGTAAAGGAGGGTGAATATTGTTGATGTATTCTCTATACCTGCATGAATGTGAACATTGAAACCTGTTGAAGTCATTTTAAGAAGGGGGAGTGGAAAGAGGGAGAAAAATGGAGGGGATGGACCAAACTGGGATACATTATATACGTATATGGAAATGTCACAATGAACCCCCCTGTACAACTATTATAAACTAATAATAATATTTTAAAAAAAGAAAATTATTGTGACCTTGGGAGTAAAGAGATATCTGA